GTTGTTGTTGTCCACGGCTATGGCGCCCAGGTGGTTGTGGTTCTGGTTGTTGTTGTGGTTGTTGCTGTTGTTGTTGTTGTTGTTGTTGTTGTTGTGCAGGTCAACAGCCTGGATCACGGCTATGGCGGCCAGGTATGTGACGCAGGTATGGTCTCCGCACCTCTTCTTCTTCTTCTTCTTCTTCTTCTTCTTCTTCAGGTGGTTGTTGTTGTTTTTGTTGTGCAGGTCGCCAGTGTGGAGCTTGGCTATGGCGCCTAGTTAAGTGCCGCTGACGCAGGGATATGTTGTTGTTGTTTTTGTTGTTGTGCAGGTCGCCAGTGTGGGGCACGGCTATGGCGTAGTTAAGTACCGATGACGCAGGTTGAAGCACGGCTATGGCGCCCAGTTAAGTACCGCTGACGCAGGTATGGCCTCCGCCCCTCTTTTTCTTCTTCTTCTTCTTCTTGTACTTGTGGCTGTTGTTGTTGTTGTTGTTGTTCACGTCGCCAGTATGGAGCACGACTATGGCACCCAGTTAAGTACCGCTGACGCAGGTATGTGGTGTTGTTGTTGTTGTTGTACAGGTCGCCAGTGTGGAGACCGGCTATGACGCCCAGTTCAGTACGGTTGACGCTGGTATGGTATCGGCCCCTCTTCTTCTTCTTCTTTTTCTTCTTCTTCTTCTTCTTCTTCTTCTTCTTCTTCTTCTTCTTTTGCCTCTTTTGCAGTGAAAGTACCCATGGTACCAGTTCATATTTAAGTACCTGAAGCTCATGTAGGAGCACCCACTGTTGGATCTGTTATGTGTTTGGTGAACCAGAAATGATTTTGCCTTAACAAATAAAAAAAATATGCAAAATTCAACTAGTTTGGACTGAATTAACACAAATATGACGAAGTGAAAATAATCGCGTAAAAGGTTTTTGTTTGAATTCGGGAAATGGAGGCTACGCTGTGGCAATTGCAGGTCATATAGCTTTCTTCTTCTTCTTCTTCTTCTTCTTCTTCTTCTTCTTCTTCTTCTTCTTCTTCCTCGTCTTCTTCCTCCTCCTCTTCCTCTTCTTCTTCTTCATCTTCTTCTTCTTCTTCTTCTTCTTCTTCTTCTTCTTCTTCTTCTTCTTCCTCCTCTTCCTCCTCCTCCTCGTCTTCCTCCTCTTCTTCTTCCTCCTCTTCTTCTTCCTCCTCTTCTTCTTCCTCCTCGTCTTCCTCCCCCTCTTCTTCCTCCCCCTCTTCGTCCTCCCCCTCTTCTTCCTCCCGCTCTTCCTCCTCTTTCTCCTCCTCTTCTTCTTCTTCTTCTTCTTCTTCTTCTTCTTCTTCTTCTTCTTCTTCTTCTTCCTCTTCTTCCTCCTCTTCTTCCTCCTCTTCTTTTTCCCTCTTCTTCTTCCTCTTCTTCTTCCTCCTCCTCTTCTTCTTCCCTCTTCTTCTTCCTCCCCCTCTTCTTCCTCCCCCTCTTCTTCCTCCCCCTCTTCCTCCTCCTCTTCCTCCTCCTCTTCCTCCTCTTCTTCTTTCTCTTCTTCATCCTCTTCCTCTTCTTCTTCTTCCTCTTCCTCTTCCTCTTCTTCTTCTTCCTCTTCCTCTTCCTCTTCTTCTTCTTCCTCTTCCTCTTCTTCTTCTGCTTCTTCCTTCTTCTTCTTCCATCTTCTTATTCCTTCTTCTTCTTCCCTTTTCTTCTTTCCTCTTCATCTTCCTCTTCTTCTCGCGTCCCTCTTCTTCTTCCTCCTCTTCTTCTTCCTCCTCTTCTTCTTCCCTCTGCTTCTTCCTCCTCCACTTCTTCTTCCCTCTTCTTCTTCCCTTTCATCCTCCCCCTCTTCTTCCTCCCCCTCTTCCTCCTCGTCTTCATCCTCCTCTTCCTCCTCCTCTTCTTCTTCCTCTTCTTCTTCCTCTTCCTCTTCCTCTTCTTCTTCTTCCTCTTCCTCTTCTTCCTCTTCCTCTTCTCATTGTTCTTCTTCCCTCTTCTTCTTCGTTCTTCTTCTTCCCTCTTCTTCTTCGTTCTTCTTCTTCCCTCTTCTTCCTCCCTCTTCTTCTTCCTCTTCTTCTCCCCTCTTCTTCTTCCTCTTCTTCTTCCTCTTCTTCTTCTTCTTCCTCTTCTTCTTCCTCTTCTTCTTCCTCATCTGCTTCCTCTTCTGCTTCCATTTCTTCTTCCTTTTCTTCTTCCTCCTCTTCTTCTTCGTCTGGTTGTTGCTGTTGTTGTTCTTGTTGTTGTTGTGCAGGTCGACAGCGTGGAGCACGGCTATTGCGCCCAGGTGGTTGTGGTTGTTGTTGTGGTTGTTGTTGTTGTTGTTGTTGTTGTTGTTGTTGTTGTTGTTGTGCAGTTCCACAGCGTGGATCACGGCTATGGCACCCAGGTAACTGACGCAGGTATGGCCTCCGCACCTCTTCTTCTTCTTCTTCTTCTTCTTCTTGTTCTTCTTCTCCTTCTTCTTCCTCTTCTTCTTCTTCTTCTTGTTCTTCTTGTTCTTCTTGTTCTTGTTCTTCTTCTTCTTCTTCCTCCTCTTCTTCTTCGTCTTCTTCGTCTGCTTGTTGCTGTTGTGGTTCTTGTTGTTGTTTTGCAGGTCGAGAGCGTGGAGCACGGCTATGGCGCCCATGTGGTTGTGGTTCTGGTTGTT